TTTTTCTTTTATTTTCAGTTTTTAGCTTGGGATATAAGCATTTTGTTAAATAAATGAATAAATAAGATGGTTTTGAATTGCACATAAACCTTTATTGTGAGAGCTTATTTTGAGATGTGAAAGAACAATGTAATTTATAGATGTACAGATATTACAATATTAAAAGTAAAGCATATTCAGAGTACAAATATGATTTTTTTTTTGGTAATGAATTCCTAACGAAACAAGAAACAATATTCATGTATGAAATAGCAGTGATTACAAGAATGCCTGCATTATTTTCAGGAAACAATGGCAAGTTCAGAATTAAAAGGCAAGGAAAACAGTACGAAGACAAATGACAGATGTGAATCTTATGTTCCTTCTGTACAGCTTGCAGAGGGGCTTGATGTCAGGTATGAATTCTGGTTTCATACTTATTCATTTTGTGATTATACAGATTGTTTTGTACTGATATGAATATATGTTGATGATTGATATTTTTTATTGATGCAGTTACTGTGTATAAGAATATTATATTGATTATATTGACATAAAGGTGTATTAGTTCATTTCTTTATGGTGATTCTTATTCTTCTTATTATTATTATTGTTGTATTTTGTCTACAATTGATATTATCCATCTATTTCTATAAGTATTTTGGTAGTCATTCAAATTTTTATTTGTCTTATCAGCACGGGAGAAATTTTTTCATGCTCACTGCTATTCATGTATATTTTTTTTATTGTGAATCTTGATGTAAGGAAAAGATATTTCCAACAAGTTTTTCATATGGAATATGAAATATTGAAATGAATATGAATTAAAGATTTATTATATTTCCAGAGAAGTTTGCTCAGAAACTGGAGCATCTTTTGAAATCTCGGAAGAACAGCTCAGGGACAAGGAAAATATTGACTGGCGAGAGAACTTTTTCGATGACGAGGAACTTGTTAAGAGCCTTCGACTTGGAGCTGGAAATGGAATTTTCGAGGATGAAGAATCAGGTGAAGAATAAAGGCTGTGTCTTCATGAATTTTTTTTATAATTTTTTAAAAACCATTTCAGTTTATTTACTTACTGGTTTCATATACCATGTGCAAATGTTGAGATCAAATGAAAAGCATAAGATGTGGGTAAAGCCATAATTTTAATTTCTTGTGTCTTTATAAACAACTATTTTTTCTCTTGTATTATGTTATCTCTTTTGGAGCATAGTCTATATTTTGTATTTCAACCTCTTGTATCAGATATAGATAAAGGTGTAAGTGTAAATAACGACATGATTATAGGAGATATGAATATAGATATAAAACAGGTTGCATATTGGTACTGGTATAGATATATGTAAAAAAGATATCAAATAGCAAATATGGATGTAGATAGATACATATGGATCATTATTCTGTATAACAACTTTAATTTTTGTGGAAAGTAATTCATTGATTGACCATAAAAAAAGAAAATACAGTAAATAAGTTCTTATGTATATATCTGTTTTGTGCTTCAACTTTTCAGAATTTGAATATTTAGGTATCAAATAATGAAAATTAGAATTGGAATTCCATAGAAGTTTATTTGATTTTTAATGAAATAACGTAATTGTACATAGAGGGATTTCTATTTACAGAAAATCAACCATTTAGGCAGAAGTTTTTCATGTGTACATTGAGGGTTATAGTGCATTGAAAGTTAGAGCAAATGGACAGTTCCTTTTCTCTTCTTTTCTTTCAAATATCTTTTCCTTCTGAATTTTGTGCACATTTCTGGCTTTTTTTTGTCTTTTTCCCTTTTTCCCTGACTGTCTTCCTTTTTCATTAATCTTCTTCTTTGTATTTACATTATTATTTCATTCTGTTTTCTTTCTCTTTTTTTTTCTTTCTTTCCTTCTACCTTTTAGTCTTTTGTGTGCATAGAGCCATGTACCTGAGTATCTCCTTCAGATAGATATTGAGCAATGAATTTGGACAGCAGTTTAGACTAAGCATATTTAATGGTTTTTACAAATAGAATCTACTTTCTTTTTTCTTTTTTCTTTTTACTGCCAATAGATATCTCTTGGCATGTGCTTTAGATAATGTTAGGGTGTATTGAGACAGCATGTGATGATAAATGCAGTCAGGCAATATAAAACAAAATGAGATTAGTTAAGCAGAGTTCAAGAGTATATTCACTGTGAATACAGCAATAGTGTATTTGGTGTATTTGTATAAATGAAGTTGACCAATATATTCATTTCAAGTAACTTACTAAACAACACCTTAATAAAGCAGTCAGTTTTTTAAGATATTCAGAAAAAACTTGTAATGGATCAACTTAGGACATCTGCTATTTTAGCTAATATGATAATTAAAAGTCTACATTACCCCAGCTTCAGAAGAGGATGGAGAGCCGTTCCGAAAAATGGCTCGGAGGATGGAAGACATGACTGGCGATGGTGGTGTGTTGAAGATGGTAAGGTTTAAATAGCATTGGGAAATTACCATTTAACTTTTGTTATTTGCTTTTCTTCCACAGTAACATAAGTGAGACCACATGTTAATACAACCAGTACTACAACTTTCCCTTTAATTTCAATCATTCACTCATCTTTCTCCCTTACTTGTCTCCCTCATAACCAGATTGTGCAGCCAGGTATCGGCGGAGACATCCCAGACAATGCGACCATTGTATTCCACTATAGTGCATTCCTTGAATACCTTGATGAACCCTTTGACTCCTCATACTTGCGAAAGAAGCCTGAGAAGAACAAGGTTGACAGTGGAAACATAATTCCAGGACTAAATGTGGCTATTAAGACAATGAGGAAGCGCGAAACAGCTCGGTTTCTCATCAGGCCAGAATATGCATATGGAAAGGTAGGCAGAGAGAGGTGTTTTTGAGGGGTTGGGATTTAAACATTTAACCTATGGATCCAGATGTGTCACTGCTATCACATGGTCCAAAATTTGGGAATTAGGCATACTCTGCTGGGTGTGTGGCTTGTAGGCAGAGTGCTCAAAAACACTCATGTGCGGTGAAAAGACTGGATGCCTCCCCTTTGCAATGTTATTTTCTCTTTTTCAACTTAAGTGTTTTTAGCTTTTATTTTTTTGCCATATTCCAGTATCTATATTTGTATTTAATTTCCTTTATCAAGATGGTAATAGACTGTCATCATTGCAGACTGGCCATATCATCTCTGTTGGTATTCCAGAGTGAAATACTTATAACACATTGATATTTTTGTATTTTTTTAGTTTTTTGGTTGTATTCAAGTTTCTGTAATATAACCTGGAAGTGTCAGGGCCTTGAAGACACATAGCTTTGTCTGTAGAATCTTCAGTATCTCTTACTGATTCATTCTAATTGATTATTTTTTTAATTTTATATATTTTTGAGTAATTGGCCTATGATTATGCCCACAGCAGTGAAGGCAATACTGGTAATTATTAGTGTGTGCAGATATATATGTAACTTTGCAGGATATTAGGTACAAACAATGAACAATTCTAGTTTTACTATAAATAGCAGATATTTTGTTTTTTCCCCTTGTGTATAGGTGAAGCTTCCTTTTGTTTTCAATGAATTGCCACTATGTGTGGAGAAAGGTGACTGATTTAGTCTTCATCCCCTTGATTTAGTCTTCATCCCCAAGAAAGGGTAGACAACGGTGACTGGTTTAGTCTTCATCCTCGAAAAAGGGTGAAATCTGAAAGGATAAGTAGATGAGAAGAAGGGGAAAGGACGAATTTTGAAATCTCCTGAAATTGAAGACAGCACTGGGACTTTAAACCTTTAAAGAGGTTAGAAATCAAGTTGTCTCACCATGACAAAATATGGTTATGGCCATGCACTGGTGTTCCTTTTCTGGACACTGAATGCTATTTTCTGCAATTATACTTTGTGTATCAGTGGCTTTGGTTCCTGCATGATTTAACTGCATGTACCTCAGCAGACATCCCAGTACATAATCCATAATTAGAGTTCAGATATCAGTTGTTAAGTTCTGGTTACCAATGCTGGTCCTGTTGGCCGGTTTTGAGACGTTTATTTTCTCTGTCTGTTTGATGGCATGATAACAATGTTTTTGAATATCTATCAGGATCAATAAGCACTTTCAATGGCATCAAGCATGCAAAAATACCTTTCATGATATGAAAAGTTTAGATGCAAAGATTGTTTTCTTCATCTGCCATGCATTCAAGTACAAATGCTGATACAGCTGTTGTACCCTTTTTAACCCAATGTTGACGGGAAAATGATGTGTTCCCTTTGGCAATGCTTGGTTAAATGTTTCTGCACATAGATGGCTCTGCCAATGCTTAGCCACAAAGGAATCAATTAGTAGATCTTGCAACCTCACTTGAAAAAGTGGGAAAACACTTTTATTTTTACTAATGCTATCAGTATTGACACTGTTATTTTTGTTATAAACATTATAATTACTATATTGTTACTGACATTACTAACAGCAGTATTAAATATTAGAAAATATTATCGAAAATCAAGGAAAAAGGTAAACAGGTGAGACAGGTAGTTCGCGTAATTGATTCATTGGTGACTTAGTACTTGTGGAGCCATCTATATGTAAAAACAATTACTAAATTCAACACACACAATGGGCAATGGCATGTACGTACATGCCATGCCCAGCGGCTTGGGATTAACATGAGAAAAAGAAAGAAAAATACTGTATTTGGAGATGGCAAATGATGATGTCTTAAACAGACCTTGGAGAACCAGTTGCTTTTCTTAGGTAGCTATTGGTGTCTTGGTCTTTTGGTTTTTCATGAACTGTTGGATTTCCATTCAAAATTACCATTATTTTGTTGTTTTTCCACATTTGTAGCATTTCCAATTTAATGCTGTTGTTCTCATTATTCTCTAATGTTGGCTTTATATGAGATATGTATCAGATTTTCCAAACTTCTGCAAATACTGCAGATATGTATGAAAGTCAGTGGCACTAAGGATGACTATGACATTATGCTATGGATTGATTTTCCCAATTACTAAGTGCTAATAAAATACTTTGTCTTTTTTCATGTCTGTACTGTGTCTTTACATTACTAGTAAGTAGATTCATACATAACAAGCAGAGTGTATAAGTGTTTCATTTTGATTTCTCATGCATAAAACTGTTCTCTCACATAATTTTGTACTTTTTTCTATTTTAGTGACATTTATGTATAGACTAGTAGACCTTATAATATAGTGATTATTATTTCATTCAGAAATATGTATACAGAATAAGACTCTTCTAACTGTTTATTTTCTTTTGAAATATATGTACAGTATACTGCTGTAAGATACTATGGTCTCATTTCAATAATTTATTGCACATGGTAGGTTTCTATGTCTAGTATTTGTATACAATTTACAATAACTTTTTTATTACAGTTAGGATGCCCACCTAGGATACCAGGTAATGAGACACTATTGTATGAAGTGTACATCGTTAATGTCATTGATGATGCTGCAGCTGATGCTTACGATGAACTTGATGAAAAGATGCAGACTAACACAACTTTTGAGCAAAGGCTAGAAGCGGCCCGAGGATTCCATCGTAAGGTTCGAAGTTTCAGGATTGTTTCCTTTTTACTCCAATTTGTACAAGCATAAAGGTAGTTTAGCTGCAACTTAATTGGCAGAGATGTTGGTGATTATATAGATGTGTCAAATATGATTTGTAGTTTTTATAATTATCTATTTTTAAAATCTTTTATTTAGATATGTATGTTTTTTTGTTGTTTTTCAACTAGAGAAACATTCCTATGGTATTGTTGTAAGTAAATTCAGGTTTTTGTAAATTTCAGTTTAGAAACTATTAACAAATAGCTATTTCTATAGATAGGTTGATGAATAAAGATGGATTCATCAAGATAAGTAAAGACATAAATGAATTTAAGTTTATAAGTATTTTTCTCTGTACATCAAAGGGCAACAACCACTATAAAGAAGGGTATTTGAAAGGAGCTAGGGACTGCTACCTCCGAGCTGCCTGGATCATGGAAGATGCAAGACTTAAGAACGAGGCGGAGGAAAAACAGAGAACTTCCTTGTTGATGAAGATGCGCAGTAATTTGGCACAGGTAAGGCTGTGAGTGTTTCAGTGTATTCTTATTATGTACAAAAACTTACATGGATTTCTTTAATTATGTTAGCAAATGTAAAGTGACATGAATCACATTACTTATCCTATCCTTTAAGCCTCTCATTTTCCACCAAATTTGTCAAAGTGTATTTTTCTTATATTGATCTTTTTCAGCCATTAGGATATGCTTTATTATTCCATTAAACCTTTCACTTTACTAAATTTAGTGCTCCTTATGTAGAAAATAGAGGAATAAACCTGGTTCTTCTATTTCCCAAGGTTTATCTGGACATGAAGGAACCAGCAAGAGCCTGTACGCAATGTAAATTAGGGTTTGAAGTTGCGGTTGCCGGTCTATGCTCAGAGGATGTTATGGCTAAGCTGTACTTCAGGTGACGTTTATTTTTGTTTATTTAATTTTTTTCTTTTCTTTCCGTGAAATTAGTTAAGAAAGGGATGATGTTAAACTAGGGGGGTCACTAAGACAGATAGAAAAAGGCAGTTGAAGTGTGCTTGTTGTGTACTTGATTTTTTTCTTTTAGGGAAAAAAAAACCTGTGGAAATGTCATTAAAAAGATATGAATATTGAAAAAAGAAAAATTCAAAAATGGCTAGTATTTCTGTTTGTTTTTATATAAAACAAAACTCATTGGAAGTATAACTGTAGACTAATTTATATGACTGTGTATTAAAAAACAATGGAAAGGTGATGATTCACAGATTTTCCTTTTTTCTAAGGTCTGGCAAAGCCAAGGTGATGCTGAGCAACTTTAAGGGCGCACATAAGGACCTGTTGGCAGCTCAACGCATCAAGCCAAACAACCCCAGCATTTCAGCCGAGCTAGAGGAACTGTACCTTAAGCAGGAGAAGTGTGAAGCACAGGAGAAGTTTATGTGCCAACGTATGTTTGCCCCACAAAGCTGCAGCAGTGATAAGGATGGAATGAGAAAGACCAATCAGGAAAAGGAAAAAGATGGAGAGACTAAAGGAAAGGAGGTAGAGAAGAAGAAGGAAAAAGACCTTAATCAAAATCTAGCTTACAAAGTGCGTCCCGAGTTTGAAGCACTCGTGGAGGAGAATATTCACAACTTTGTCAACAACCACAAAATACATGAGCTTCCCTTTCCCAGCAGTCTATCACAGGAAGAAGTTGTGTGTGTGGCTACCATTGCCAAAGCCTCTGGTTTGTCTGTCATGTATTCACAAAATGGTACTGATTGCAGTCTTAAGATAGTAAAAAAGTTTTTAAAGGAATAGAGGGATACTCCTCTGTTGCAGAATGTATAAATATCAGGGATATATATAGAATTAAGAAACTATTATGGGAAAATTATGGCTGGTGATTATCAAAGAATTGTTGTTTTTTAGGAGAGTTAGTAAGGATTGATAGTTTTTGTTTCTAAACTCACTCTCCAAATGCTTTTATACCTGAAAAGTCCTGTA